TGGAATTTGATGAAAATTGACTGGGTAACTAGAATTTACAAGAAAAATCTAACAGTGAGATCCGTTTCGTCATCCGAATTTTAGAAAAGTTTGAGTTTTTAACCCACACCATAACGACTAATTACCATTTTGCCTTTTTTAAAAAGAAAATTAAAATTTTTCTCGGGTTTTACAATAATGGCACTAGCTTACCATTTTGCACATTGATATTTCTATTGATAGTGCACAAATCCTTTAAGAACTTGGCATAAAAAGGAACCTATTTTATGGCATCGAGCAAAGGAATATTTATCTTGACCTGCGTAAATAAATAAAAAAATTTAGCGTGGTAATTTACCTTTTTTTGCTTCATCAACCTTTGGAGGAAAAAAGAGCTGGTTTGGGACATGGTGAGTCCTTTTTCCCCTTAGGTACAGTTCATCATGGGAAACTAGTGTAGACTTGATTATGGAATTAGACTCTTTAAGAGCTATGGTCTTGTTTACAACCTTACCACTCCAAAGGGTGGTGATGATTGTACATGCTCAAATGGTGCATCAGAAGTGGGAGATATACCTATTTGAAATAGACCCTGTGGTGGTTTAGGTTGGGTAGGAAATTTACTCTTCTCTTGAGTGGACATAGACCTGGTCAATTTTTTAAGGTGACTCTTAATGTCATTTATTGATTGTGAAGTATGTGTATGGAAATGCATCTAACTTTGCATGGATTGATTTAAGACATCCTCTATACTCCTTATCCGTGGTAGTTGGTATGGTGGATATTGTGATGGTGCCAATCCTTGTGGTGGGTGATCGACTGGGGGATACTGTGTTTGTTGATTGCTCTTCAACTATAGTTCGAGTGATTTTTTCAACCTAAATTATAAGTCTCAAAATATAGGTTGGAGTAGGATATATTGAATCCATAGATTGCATTGGATTGCTCTAATAAAGCCTCCTTAAAGTTGAAATGGTGGGGCATTACCCCGTATGATGCCCTAACAGTGCAAATATCTCATACACTTGTTTCATTGGAGACACATCAATGACTTCATTTATCCTCCTTATCTCTAAAGCTTTGAGCTTTCAAGACAAGGTGGTCATCTGGTCCTAAGGTCATCTTTCTCATTCAATATGTATTTCCCCTCTTCGGAAGTAGTAGCCCAATTGTCTAAACTAGCAGGTGAGGCCGAGTTTCACATCCAGAAACTCTCAAATAATGTGTCTCTTTGAATGGGGATTCAACTTGATCAAAGTTTGAGTTTTCTCCACTAGACATGCAATGTAGAATTAAGGATGAATGCAACTAAACGAAAAAATAAAACAAAAATAAGAAGAAGAACTAGGAGTTATAATGGCAACAGTAAATCAAAAGTAGACTACAGAATAAAATGACATTACCCTAAAAAGGATTTCTCCAAGTAGCTCGCTGATGAAGACGGATTCCTTTTTTTCTACTTTTGAATTTATCTTTCAATATCAGTAACAATGCCAAAAACTTGTTTGATACCGAATAGGTAAACCCAAGTGTAAATGGTCAAGAAGTGGTAAATATTCGGAAGTCTGAGGTCGTACCATAGAGATCCAAAATTACAAAAATAGGTAAAAAACGAAAATGTATTTTGAAAATTGAAATTGTTAATAAAATAAAAGCAAAAAATTTTAAAAGTGATTTATCAATTGGAAAAACGACTCTTTAGTCGAGATCTTGTTCTATTCATGTTCGTCAAATATCTATGTTTATGCAATTACAATTTATCTCAATTGATTTCCAACACTAGTGCAGTCAATTGAAAGATTTAATTTTAAAAAACACAATATTTGATTAATTTGAAAATAAGAATTGAAGAACGACTTCTATGAAATTTGTAGAGAATTAAAAACATTATTCATACCAAAAACTCAATCAAGTTATTGAATAATTGATTAATTTTACAGAACATAAAACTTAACTGAAAATCATTCAATCAATTTATAATTTCAAGAAAATATAACTTTAAAGCATAAGAAAAATAATTTCATAAAATATAAGTATTCAATTTACAATTCACAAGATAGGATGCTCTCTCAACAGGTGAGGGCCTTTATTTATAAGTCTAGGTATAGGTAGAGGTCTAGAGTTGGCTTGGGAGCAATCTTTTCCAAAAAGAAGTCTTTTTAGGTCAAATCTCATGTATCAAATCTTGGGGGGCACGGGTATCATATCTACTAAAAAATCAAGATAAATATTCGAATAGTTAGAGGTCAATTCACGAAATGTTCGACTACACTTTTATAGATATTGAAGTTTTCTTTCCAATTTCGCAAAAATTAGATCAATCGGACATCAAAATCAAAAATTATGACCAAATTACCGAAGACGTATCAAAACTTTATCTTCTAGAATCTTTATCCAAACCTGACCTTCTAGAATTCTTTCCTAATCTAACTCTAAATGAGTTTTCTTCTAATTTGGACTCACACAATGATTAAATTGTGCACTACCTTATCTTCAAATTTTCATCTTTTAATCTTGACCATTTGATCCTTATCAAATATCTCCTTCTCAAATGTGACTCTTCCTCTAATATTTGCTTCACTTATCTTATTTATTATTAATTAAATCAACCAAATTAGCTGTAAAATAAATCAAACAACTAAAACAATTATCAAGCTAGAAAAACAAGAAATTTAATATATATTACCTCAAATAATATGTAATTAATCAATCATTAAATATAATAAAATGACACTTTTAATGGTTAATCACAAGGTCAGTTTGAAATTTTGTTTTCATTCTTGTGACCATCGCCCTATGATCGCCCTCTTACTATTCGAGCAATCGTTCGCGAATTTATGTTTTCTTGTTCATCAATATTGCACTTATTTTGGACCTATAAATAGGGAAAATCTTTTGTACCCCTAGGTAAGCCTCAAGAAGCCTCTTGTAAGTATTTTGAGCAAGAAAAATATATCTTACCCCTTAATAGCTTGCACCACAACCCTAGATCCCTAAACCCAAAGGCTGTCATCCAGTGATTCTCATCCAACCTCACAATTTGGAGAAGAACTTACTTAGTGAAATACCAAACCTATTGAAAATGTGCATACCGAGAATCTTGGGTGATTCCTAGGAATTCTCGAAGTCTAGAGGATCCATTGCAGTGGAGAATCTAATGAAGTTATCCAAGACGTCAAAGAGGTGCTTTGGCAGAGAGGCTTATTGAAGGAAGGGAGCGTCTAACCATAGTATTGGTTGAGGTATAAGACTCAAGTACTTAAAAGCTGACATGGGGATAGTAGATGCTGTGGTGAACCCTCCCCATAATTTTTCCTGAGATGAGTTTCTACGTCAACAAATTTATTGTTTTATTTTTTGTTTTTACATATACACTTTCAATTTGAGCACACTATGTGTTTGTATGAATGATTGATTAAACAAAGTACTTCTTGTTGGAACTATCATCTTGACCTTCATCCTGAGCTAGATTATAGAATGAGGCTGCTCAACATACACTTCAATAAATAAATAGCCTTGACCTCAATGCAGATTCGAGCAAAGCTAATCCTCCTCTTGCTAGAGGTGAGAGAATCTGCATATAGGAGTTGTCCAATAGAACTAGCAATGTGGCTTAGTCCCTCAGCATTCCAAAACTGCAAATTAAGGAATGTTGAATAATTTAACCCCTATAGCTATAATCGAGTGATCCTCCTTAGTAAAGGAAAGATGTGGTTGCCACTTTTTGAGCATTCAGGCTCTTTCTGCGAAAATCCATGGAACTGCTTCAAGAATTTTGGACATTGACTCTTCATCCATAAACTTGAAGAAGTAAAACGTGGGGTAAGTGCTGGTAAGGAAGAAGACAGCGAGAGATGATGGGGGCGGACAGTGTTTGACCCCAATTGATTATCTTCACTTGCAACTAGATATTGGACTTTATGGTTTACTCTTCTTATTAATAGAAAAATAAAATCTAGAACAAACATATATGCTTAAATTTACTACTCACTCCGTTCCTAAATGTCTGTCGTTTTATATAATTTTTTTTGTTCCATAATATCTGTTGTTTAATGAAACCAAAGCATAATTAATATTTTTTGTTCCAAATTTACCTTTAACTTTTCAATGCATTAGATTTAGTGGAGGCTAAGTGTCTTTCATATTCTTTTCCTTTCCAATACGTATTAAATAAAGGTATTTTAGTCTTGTGCAATTATTTTTTACTCATATTAGAGTTATTTAATAGTTTCTTTAATCTCTGTGCAAAAACCTTAAACGACAGATATTTAAGAACGAAGAGAGTATCTTATTATTTTGGAACCAACATATGATCATATTCTTATAATAAATGTACTGTCTTCATTTGTTTGAGTTTTGAGAGCAATTACTTTTACCTATGATTAGTCGATAACAACACATACATGAATCGAAGAAATTTTAAAGTATAATAAATATAGAATCCAACTAACGGGCCTTGAACGCGGGCACCTCATTAACCTCAAAGTTAAAAAACGGTTGCATCTCACGTTTCTTAAAAATTCATATTTTTAAAATATTAGTAGTTATTTTTAGCATGTGGACTCCCAAAAGAACAGAAATTCTAATATTTATAGAAGTTTTTCATATGAGCAATGTTATTGGGAGATAATTTACTGATATAATTTATCGACCTAATTCACTGTGACATTTAGATTCACTATAGACCTTATCAAATATTAGAACTTGGTGTTGATCTAATAATTCTTATAAAATTACGTCATTATATCGATAAATTAGATCAAATTTTTAAGTTTAAAAAGTATTTCTACGTTTGATGAGCCTACAGACGTGGGAATACGAATGCAACCACCCACTTAAAATTCAAATTATTGGACNGAGCCTACAGACGTGGGAATACGAATGCAACCACCCACTTAAAATTCAAATTATTGGACAGATTGAGTCCCACACTGACTCCAACTCTCACCTATGTTTTCTTTCTATACCAAAAGACGTGTGAACATGCCATGTTTTGTATAGAAGTTTGTTTAAACTGATTTTTCCAGCAGTCAGCACACGGAAACCCTTTTGGTTGGATTAGCTGTATTATAGGCGGATCCGAGCTCTGGGACTCCTATTCTTAGTGGGATTCTCCATCATTCTCTCTCTACATATCAGCCCTAGGGTTCTTCTTTGAGACTCATCACTGCGAGAAAATCACGACTCAAAAGAGTAAGACCCAGAAAAAAACTGAAGAGCAAGAGAGAGAGACAAGGACGTACAACAATGGAGAGTTCACGGAAAAAAGAAGAAGAAGAGAGGGAACAAGAAAGGGTTGGTGCTGAAGGTGAACATGGAGAACTGGCGTTCAAGAACACGGAGGTCCCTTCATGGCGGAACCAAATAACAGTGAGGGCAATGGTGACAAGTTTTGTTTTGTGCATCGTTTTCAACTTCATCGTCATGAAGCTTAACCTAACCACAGGTGTTATACCATCCCTCAACGTCGCAGCTGGTTTGCTCGGCTTTGCCATCATGAAGTCATGGACTACCTTGCTCGAAAAGTGCGGCATCTTGAAACAGCCATTCACAAGACAAGAGAACACAGTGATTCAAACTTGCGTGGTTGCATCTTCTGGGATTGCTTTTAGCAGTATGATTTCTGAATTCTCAATCCTTTTTTCACGTGGATTTTTGATTCCGTGGTAAGAAATATGCATACTATTTATATCTTGCAAATTATTCCATGTTCAAATTTCGCGTTACTCTACAACATAATTAGGATATCATTCTGACTTTTATGGGAGAAAAAGAAATATGGCTTTTATGGGATTTGAATCTTTAGGGTTTCTAACAGTATGGTATCATATGTTTGCTTAATTTCTGTTGTATGTAAGCAAAATAGGCAGTTTTAATACTGGAGGCATTGGACTGTNAACAGTATGGTATCATATGTTTGCTTAATTTCTGTTGTATGTAAGCAAAATAGGCAGTTTTAATACTGGAGGCATTGGACTGTAGATGAAACATATTATAACCTCTAAGCAGATTGGTTCATACTTCATAGGCATTGATATGCATAAAACGCATAGTAACAAATTAAAAAGGATAGAGAAAAAGGATGCCTTGATAACTGCTTCTACTTCTAGTGATTCAATAAATTGGGGTACTTGCATAAGACTTTAGACAGGTATTCAAGATTATGCAAAACTAATGCTATAAGAAGGTCTTAGGTTCTTAATTTTTTTACCTTTTAAATCTACTCCTATGTGGGACTCTAGGAGAGAGGACAATTTTTTGAACTATAACAAATACTTCGAAGGTGGGGGAACCACCCAGGTGAGTGAATCAGTTAATAGGTGAGTCAACCACTTAGGCAGCAAACATACTGATCCGAGCCATAATCTTTTTGAATAACCTGCTGTCCACACTCGAATTCTTGACGGCAGAACAACTATTAAAACAGTCAAGATCTCTCTCTCTCTCTCTCTCTCTCTCTCTCTTAATATTCCCTATTTAAATCGCTGACATAATTCGCATAAATTCCCTCCCTGTTGACTTGATATCTGAAGCTGCAAATGTTCTTTTCTTAATGTTTACTTACTCGCCTCGGTTAAGTTATGGACATTGGGATTGCAATAGAGTTTACACCTACAGGCTAATATTTGTATTTTGTCAGGTGGCACAGCAAGTTATGTGTTGGGAATGAGTTCAATTGTGGCTGCTCAAGCAGATGCAGGGAACACCTCAGCCAATGTGAAGAAACTATCTCTTGATTGGATGATTATATTCCTATTTCTTGTGAGCTTCGTAGGCCTATTCTCAATTATGCCCCTAAGAAAGGTATGTTGTAGCCCTCTCCACTGCCATTGATTTTCGCTTGTTTTTGGTAAACTAATAATTAGGTTCTTCAATTTGCTCTTATTTATTTGAAAACGTCATTAACCCATTCTTTGTGGAGCAATGCTACAAAAGCTAAATGAAACCCAAAAAATTACAGTTCAAATACATATCATTCTTTGGATAAGTAGATTTCATCAATTTTTTTAATTGGGTCAACTCATAAAATGGATGATATGCATTTGAATTTTAACTTTTGAGTTTCATTTATGTTACGTAACATTTTCGTTCTTTGTGTTATTGCCTTGTTGGTTGATTGGTATGTTAAAATATTTTTCAGATGATGATCCTGAAGTACAAGCTAACATATCCTAGTGGGACTGCAACTGCCACCCTTATCAATGGCTTCCACACACCTAAAGGAGCCAAGTTGGCAAAGTAAGCAATTAATTGCAATCTCTTACCTTTATTAATGGGAACCAAACTGAGTAATATTTTTTAATTTCAAATCCAAAGACTGTATTCGAAATATTCCTTTTATGCATTATTTTCTTCAATTTTATCTTGGTTTTCCCTGATAGTTGATGTGATCTTTTAAATACAGGAAAAAAGTTGTAATGCTCTTCAAGTCCTTCTGTTTTAGCTTCGCATGGGCATTCTTCCAGTGGTTTTTTGCTGCTGCTGATGGCTGTGGATTTAGTAGCTTCCCTACATTTGGTCTGAAAGCCTTTAGTCAAAGGTAAGATCCCTTTCCATTTGCTATTTCTGCAATCACCCCTTTAGTTAATCTAAGGCTGGTGAAATCAATTTTTGTTGATGCATTATAGCATTGACTATTTTTCAAGAAAATTAAAATTCTGATTACTTTTGGATCACCTGTATACATATGCACCAAAACAAATGAATAATATGCACATTGTTTGAAATTTCATAAAGTTAAAACCCATTATTGAATAGAGAACATTAGTTGTTCTACATTGCAATCTTAATCCACATTGGTTTTCAATCCAAGCTATTTCATATAGTATCCTAATGGAGATGAATGTATCACAGGTTCTACTTCGATTTCTCATCTACATATGTGGGTGTTGGAATGATTTGCCCTTACATGGTCAATGTATCAGTGCTTATTGGAGCTGTAATCTCATGGGGAATTATGTGGCCCCTGATTGAGGCCAAAAAAGGAAGCTGGTATAGTGCTGAGCTATCTGGCAGCAGTCTTCATGGCATCCAAGGTTATAGGGTATGATTCTTCTCTTTTACTGCTTGTCAAGTGCCAAATGCTTCATATCTGAGTAGGATTGTGTTACCTGAAAACAAATTAGTAGTTTTAAAAAAAAAAAGCAGAAGCATGGGTCATGGTTTCACAATTTACTAAACCGTTAACGGCTCACGATTTGGGTATATTCATCCCAAACGAGGTGGATTCACTATCCAGATCACCAAAATGGAAAATCCNAATTTACTAAACCGTTAACGGCTCACGATTTGGGTATATTCATCCCAAACGAGGTGGGTTCGCTATCCAGATCACCAAAATGGATAATCTNATATCTGAGTAGGATTGTGTTACCTGAAAACAAATTAGTAGTTTTAAAAAAAAAAAGCAGAAGCATGGGTCATGGTTTCACAATTTACTAAACCGTTAACGGCTCACGATTTGGGTATATTCATCCCAAACGAGGTGGATTCACTATCCAGATCACCAAAATGGAAAATCCCAAATTATAATACTAACTCTAAATCAATTTGTTTTAAAACAAATAAAATAAATATAAAATATATATTAATTGATTTCATGTATATAGATTTATAATTATATATAATTTTAGATAATAAAAAATCAAGCACAACTATAAGATAAATAATAAATAACTTATTGTTTATAAATGTTCTATAANATATATTAATTGATTTCATGTATATAGATTTATAATTATATATAATTTTAGATAATAGAAAATCAAGCACAACTATAAGATAAATAATAAATAATTTATTGTTTATAAATGTTCTATACTATAAAATGTTATATAATAGTCAAAACAATCTACATAAGAGTTTTAAAATAGATTGTGATCCAAAATACCATACCAACTAAATATATCTTCATCATATCGCGTACCTAAAAAAATGTTGTACCATATATCCATACTCGTGCNCATAAGAGTTTTAAAATAGATTGTGATCCAAAATACCATACCAACTAAATATATCTTTATCATACCGCGTATCTAAAAAAATGTTGTACCATATATCCATACTCGTGTAACTCACGACTCAAGTAACATTGACATGAGTACCGTTCTACAAAAGATTTGCTTTAATTGAATTTTGTGGTGATTTGTGCAGAACATTGTAAGTAAACACATTTTTCACTTTTGTTTTTGTGAACCTTGACAGGTTTTTCTTGCTATTGCCATGATGCTTGGGGATGGCCTTTTCCAAGTTGTCTACATGATAATAGTGACATCCCATAGTTTCATAAAACAGAAATCTAAAAAGGAAGAATCTTCCTCCGTAATGACGGACTGTGCAGATCCATCTTCAAACGTCCAGATTGTGAACTATGATGACCAACGAAGACGTGAGTACTTTGAAAAAGATCAAATCCCCAATAAATTTGCGGTATTAGGATATGTTGCCCTGGCAGCCGCATGTATTGGTGCGGTGCCCGCCCTTTTCCCTCAGCTAAAATGGTACCACATACTGGTTGCTTACTTGATTGCGCCTGTTTTGGCCTTCTGCAATGCCTATGGATGCGGTCTCACTGACTGGTCACTTGCCTCGAATTATGGAAAAATCGCCATCCTGGTTTTCAGTTCTTGGGTTGGGCTAGACCATGGTGGGGTTCTTGCCGGCCTCGTTTCTTGCGGTGTGATGATGAACATTGTATCTACGGCTTCTGATCTGATGCAAGACTTTAAAACAGGCTATTTAACACTTTCATCCCCTCTTTCGATGTTCTGCAGCCAATTTATTGGTACTGCCATTGGTTGCCTCACCTCACCTTTAGTATTTTGGTTCTTCTACAAGGCCTATAACGTAGGTGATCCAGATGGTTCGTACCCTGCACCCTATGCCTTGATGTATCGTGGGATCGCCCTTCTTGGAGTCGAGGGGTTCTCTTCCCTTCCAAAGAATTGCCTCACACTTGTTATTGTGTTTTTCATAGCTGCCATTCTCCTAAACTTTCTGACCTTGATCTTGAAGCAAAATGAAACCAAGTACAAGATCTACAGGTTTGTTCCGAGCCCTATGTGCATGGCGATTCCATTCTACCTTGGTGCTTACTTCGCCATTGACATGTGCCTTGGGAGCTTGATTCTCTTCATATGGGAACTGAACAACAAGAAAAAAGCAAAGGAACTCGGGCCGGCTGTTGCGTCTGGGCTAATCTGTGGTGACTCTTTGTGGGGAATTCCGGCTGCTATTCTTTCTTTAGCTGGTGTGCAAGCTCCTATTTGCATGAAGTTTTTATCTGCATCTACAAACAAGAAGGTAGATGGCTTCTTGGGTTCGTAGTTCATCATTTTGCTCGAGCCTCCGTCAATTGATGCTTGTACAAGTTTTTATGCTTTTAGAAGCTTCTAAGTGCAAGGTATAAAGCTTCTTGGGGTGTTTGATCGTTTTGTTCGAAATTCTTCCTAGTGGTACTTCAGGGGATTTAGACGTATATATGTTTCCTTTAAGTTTGTTAATCATGACAGTATGTTGAACTTTTTTGTTTGGCAAAACAATACAGGATTTATATTAAGGTTATCAAGTTTCAACATATAAGAATCAATCTAATGGGGGTACTGGTACTTAATTTTCTTAGTACTCCCAAAGAATGGTTTCTGTCAACCTTCAAGTAATGTAGACAAAAACAAGTACATTCATTACACATAAGGCATTGGTAGATGCCAACTCTTCGCCAAGGATCTTTCTTGTATTTGGGGTATTCTTGATCCTCAAAGAAATCATACTATAACGCACCACAACCACCAACCAAGGGATTATTATTCCCTCCTGTGCTCTGCAAAGAATACACAGTTCCGATCTGCTGAATTTAGCTAGGGATCTCTTTTAAAGAATAATGCTGTACAAATAGAATTTTCTTGTTTTTTGTATGCAATTAATTTTTGAATCGAATGATATGCCCACTAGCATTATTTTATTCTGATACAAAAGAGTGCTAATATCACGCTGTTTGAAAAAGTATTCTTGCTATGAAAATTCTTTTTGATACTAAGTGAAAGTGAGTATTTCAAAAGGTCTGCCAACTCAACAGATGATGAGGTTCATTTTGACTATCCTGACATGTTTGGTTCGGGTACAAACAAAAGGATGAGAGTGTATAATTGGTTTTAATCTAATCTATACAAATGTTTCTCATAAAAGTACTATTTGATCCTATCTTTTGTGTAACAATGTTAAATCAAGGTTGGAATAAGGTATAAATCTATAGTTATATAACTACGATGAAAACTGATAGGATAGAGTGGATGGTTAACATATCTCGAATGCAAATTAAAAGAGCATAAGAGAAAGGAACTGGAAGTTGCATAGGTGAATTGCNCTATAGTTATATAACTACGATGAAAACTGATAGGATAGAGTGGATGGTTAACATATCACGAATGCAAATTAAAAGAGCATAAGAGAAAGGAACTGGAAGTTGCATAGGTGAATTGCCGGGCAGAGTAAGATTATGGGACTATTGTGAGTTGGTAAGGAGGTCAATAGAGGAAGCACAAACCTGTTTTTCATGGAGTCCTTGTACTGCGTGATGCATTGAAAAAGGGATTATTAACTGGGTGGAAACCCTGTGATAGATAGGTCTTGCTTGATGCATGTCAATCGAAGGAAACGTTTGGATTTTTTATTTTTTTTTGCTTAATAAACAGGATGCCTAATTTAATTTACGCACACTTCAAACATTAAAGTTTGATTCATGTTTGGGAGTTTTATATCTGAAATTCTGGGGCCTAAGGAAAAGGGATGGGCACCCAATTCCATTTTTAGGTAAATTTTATGAATATCCCTTAAACTATGACCTTTGTTTCAAAACGCCCCTAAACCTTTTTTGTCCCTATCCCATGTGCATCTCACACACTTGAATCTGTGTCGTTTGATGCCTAAAACTAATCGAATGTGTCAATTGCAACCAATTACATAGTTTAAGAGATAAATTAGGAATAAAAAAAAAGTTAAGTGAATTTTAAAACAAAACTCATAGTTTAAGGGATGTTTATGAAATCTACCCTTCTATTTTGTAACGTTCAAACCTTATTACTGACTTTGTTCGATATTCTGTTAGGCTCGTAGAAAGATTCAATGTGTTGATGCCAGGGGCGGACCACCGTAGGTTTTGTGTCAAGAATTTATATGTCGATCGGTTTCTATCTAACATTCAATGGTAAGAAATTAAGAGAGCTGACATAGGCAGCTGCATGTGCATTCACTGAGTGGATAAATTATAGGGTCGTTAATGGATCGCGTAACGTTGAGTTTATATTGTTTTTAAGTCAATTTATTTCAATATTTGCTCAACTGGTACCCGACCTTTGTATTCGTTTATAGAGGGATTCATGTATTGCATAAGCGGTATATAAGTTGATGTTTACTCCTAAAAATAGAGAGATCAAAAGGTGACACATGAAAGAGATCCGACGGTCACACAAGAGTCTGTGAGAGTCCACGATTGGCAGAACAGTTAGAGAAATGAGACTCTTAGAATCACGAAAAACAAGAAAACGTGATATGATAAACAGCCAAATGACGACGATTCAACGCACGTCCACATATCTCGAGAGACAATGCCACGATCACAGTAATGGCTGGAAAAGATGAGTCGACGATTGAAAGTCATCTCCATAAATAATAGAGGTTAAGCCACTGAAAAAGGATCCCACAATTAAACACAAAAACTCTTCACAGAGCTAATTCTTACTTCCAAGCAATTTGATTTTTTTTGTAATCATAACTCCAGTGATCTTTTACTGTTTTTATTTAATATTAAGTTCAATACTTGTTTCGTGTTCAGATTTAATTCACTTGCTACTTTTTATTCTCATTATTCTCTTTACGGTGTAGTCCATTACGCTTCTATTTTGAGAAATTATTTAAAATTCTTGAACCATAAGGCATAGAAAAAAATTCAGAGATAGTCTTACGTCTCGCTATAATCACTTGAACAGTCACGATTTTAGAACCTCACGCCGGTTCAAGTAGATAAAGTCGTAAGTGTTTGGATTTTAAATCTATTCAGACTTTGACATGCTCGCAATCTAAAAGTATGTCAAATATATTTTTTTTGGCATATCCAGTGGGACCCCAAGAATCAGCATGGCGAATACCCAACGAAAATCCAAAATTGGGGCATCAAAACTTCCTCCAGTGCAAGAGGTTGTGAAGAGAGCAGGACTGGCATCCCCAACCTACAAGAAGAGTTGCCTCCACTCGAGGGGCAAGAAAACTGTGAATCCGACTAAGAGCTGGAGGCCTTAATCAAAGCTTTATCGCATCAAGTCTCTTAGTAGGTCTCTGGGTTTATTCAAGGACTAAGGGATTTGATCAAAGAAGAATTTGGCCGCACCAAACAAGCATTGGAGCGGCTTGCTGACAATTTGAATTGTTTAGGGGGCATAAAAAAGCAATTGTTTCCCCCTGTAGAGGCAATTCCAATAGAAACTCCACAGCCAATGCTTCTCCCGTATGTGTCACCACAAGGGCACGACAAGCTAGGAATGGCTACAGGTGTAACAACAATCCTCTTTTTCAAGAGGAAGAGATTCCTAATCCGAGGTTGGGAGGCAAAAAAACCTAAGTGGTTATGAACAGAGAATAACTAGACAAGATTATTCAGGAATATGTAGGTCCCGCCATGAGGAGGGTCAATAAGTCGACATATCAGAAACCATATCCCAACTGGATAGATAAGGATTATGAGTATCCTTGGGGATACAAGGTCATGGTATTCGCTACATTTTTGGGAGAAAACTGTCAGTCGATAATGGAGCACATTGACCGTTTCACTGTACAGTGTGGCCAAGTATGGGCTAATGAGTTTTTGAAACTAAGGCTACTTGACACCTCACAAGAACAGCCTTCAGATGGTATATCGATCTACCGCCCAATTTTGTGCTTAGCAGGAGCTTGAAGATAAGTTGCACACTTAATTCTACCTCACTAAGTTGGAAGTAGTAATAGCTGATTTAGCCAAATTGTAACAGATGATTGGGGAAAAAGTAAAACATCGCACGTTTCAAGAAGGCCAAGAGGGAACGGCCTTCATATGGTACATTGATCTGCCGCCCAATTCTATGCTTAGCAGCAACTTGAAGATAAGTTCCACACTCAATTCTACCGTACTGAGTCGAAAGTAGTTATGGCTGATTTGGCCAAATTGTAACAAATGATTGGGGAGATGACGGAACATCGCACGTTTCAAGAAAGCCAGGTACCGATGTAGGTTGGCAATGCTAGAGATGGATTATGTGCACATTGTGCAGAATGGTCTAGGTTTTAAGCTCTAGAAGAAGTTCGAGAGAATGGAGTTCAATGACCCATTCGAGCTGGCAACGTAGGCTTCCTGGTATGAACAAATCCTACATGAGGAGTTGGATCAAAGAAACATGCCCAAAGGAACATACTATAGGAATTCCAACACCGAAATATTCATAGTCGAGCTAAACCAAGAGTTGGAGTGGAATATGGTAAAAATCATGGCGAGATGACCACATGTGTGCAAGGCCTTAACCAGGCTTCCAAAGAGTCAAACACTGGCCACGCCAAATGTTGAAAAGGGAACCAACGAAGGTAACAACCAAAAATTATGAGTTCGACATTGCAAAGGCTGATCAAATCTTTGACCATCTGTTAGCTGATAGCATTATCAAGCCATCATTCGGTCACAAGATTCCATCGGCCATAGAGTTGACGAATAAGACATACTACAAATGGCACAATTTGTGGAGCTATTCTACTGTTAACTGTTTGGTGTTTTGGAATGCCATCCAGGATGGCCTGAGCAAAGGTCATTTGATATTCAAGGATAAATGGAAGCCGAAGATAGGGGTTGACACAAACCCTTTCTAGAAGACAACTGCCATTAAAATGGTGGAAGTAGGGTAGTCGAAGACCCTAAGAAAAAAGATAGAATTGGGTGAAGACAAGTCGACTGATAACAAGAAGCCAAGGAGAGAGAAAGAAAATACTTCTTAGGCTGAGTCATTAGAGGAAGACTCTAAGAGTAAGCCATATGTTTTGCTAGGTCTCCAAGAGCATCTAGATGTGGTCAAGAACGGACTATGCCCCATATGCAAAGCCTTTTACAGGATCGTTCCAGACAAAGAAGAATAAGGAGAATCGTCCAAAAAGGTCATGCAAGAGATGGCATTACAACGACACTTATTGGGAGCAGCTAGGTGAATGGCCACTGTCCAAATGGGATTATGAGGATCAGCCTAGCAAGTTCGTGAGGTCAAGCTACTGAGAGAACGGTAGAGATATACTAAAAGCCCTGAAAGGTCGACAAGGGCCAAGATACAAGGAATTTGCCACAGAAATTGCATCTGATCAACTAATCAAAGCAGAAGGTTATAGGGATCAATGTAGGATGATGAAACCAACAGAGCCATTTAAGGGTCTTTGGTATGTAGCCCAGCATCTAAAGTTTCCATAGTACCATCAATTACATCCACTAACTAGAAGTCAGAAGCATAGGAAGTAGTGCATTCAAGCAGAGCTTTGCAAATA